TATTAGAATCGATTTTTAGCGGATTCCCGGCGTGTGCTACTACGCTAAAAAACAAGTACATTTTGTTTATTTGTTGAAAAAAGCAAATTTTTAAAGACGGGTTTTTAAAGTCCTGACAACCTACCCACCTCTCCATTTGTCACATTTGAAAGTTGACATCTGTCCAGCGTTGCCAGACACTTGAAAATTAAAGTACTGATCAAGAGACAAAAAATGTAATGAAAAACGGAAAAATGTACTAACTTCAGAAACTGAACTGAAGTTCATAAAACTGATAAAGTAGATGGTTTTAAGATACTTATTTTGTTTTTCCTACTCCTGTACTGCTTTAAATTTAAAACATCAAATAAAAAATCATTCATTTTAAATTATTTTTAATATTCCACGGTTTGGTTAGTGGGTTAATGAAACACTCGGATGGGCGATGGACTTCACGGAAAACATTGTTTTTATCTACTAAGTACTTCTTTACCTAACTAAAGTCAGTAAAGATCTGACTTTACAGATTGGGGCAGGTTACTTATCAACGAAATTTAATGCTAATATCTTCTAGCTTCTCAAGAATGTACATGTTAGGCAATTTAAGTTAGTTTAGTAATATTGCCATGTCATCAGCCTTCTTGGATTTTTTTTTTATCTAAGCACATCTTATCTAAGCAAAACCCTCCTCTCGGGTGGATCTTGTAATCCAAAGCGATATTGTACAGCGGCGACAAAATGTACTGAATTTTATAGTGTGGTACTGACGTACTGAAGAGAGTCAAATTGTACTGATTTCAGTACAACTGTACTGATGCTGGCAACACTGCATCTGTCATTTTTTTTCAACATCTTATGGCGTTTCCGATTCTGAACACCATGCAGGCATATGACGTCATTTGTCATATTTTGTCCGCTGACATCTGTCAAAATAATATTTGACTGCTGTTGAGTATTCCAAATTGTATTATCAAACGAACTTGAAGTGTATGCAAAATTTCAGACAAAATCCGTTGCGAAGAAATGGTTCAAAAAGTTGCACTTGTCACATTCGACAGTTGACACCTTTCATTTGTGGTTTGAAATGTATTATCACCCGAACTTGAAGTGTATGCAAAATTTCAGACAAAATTCGTTGCGACGAAATGGTTCAAAAATTTCCACTTGTCACATTTGACAGTTGACACCTGTCATTTGTGGTCTGAAATGTATTATCACCCGAACTTGAAGTGTATGCAAAATTTCAGACAAAATCCGTTGCGAAGAAATTGTTCAAAAATCTGCACCTGTCACATTTGACAGTTGACACCTGTCATTATGGGTCTAAAATGTATTATCACCCGAACTTGAAGTGCATGCAAAATTTCAACAAAACCTGTTGCGAAGAAATGGTTCAATTGGTCAATTTGACAGTTAACACGAGTTTTCCGGAAAATTTGACCAAGCCTAGTGCATTCCTGACCTTGAAAAACCCTGACTGAAAATAGTGAAAATACATACATACATACATACATACATACATACATACATACATACATACATACATACATACATACATACATACATACATACATACATACATACATACATACATACATACATACATACATACATACATACATACATACATACATACATACATACATACATACATACATACATACATACATACATACATACATACATACATACATACATACATACATACATACATACATACATACATACATACATACATACATACATACATACATACATACATACATACATACATACATACATACATACATACATACATACATACATACATACATACATACATACATACATACATACATACATACATACATACATACATACATACATACATACATACATACATACATACATACATACATACATACATACATACATACATACATACATACATACATACATACATACATACATACATACATACATACATACATACATACATACATACATACATACATACATACATACATACATACATACATACATACATACATACATACATACATACATACATACATACATACATACATACATACATACATACATACATACATACATACATACATACATACATACATACATACATACATACATACATACATACATACATACATACATACATACATACATACATACATACATACATACATACATACATACATACATACATACATACATACATACATACATACATACATACATACATACATACATACATACATACATACATACATACATACATACATACATACATACATACATACATACATACATACATACATACATACATACATACATACATACATACATACATACATACATACATACATACATACATACATACATACATACATACATACATACATACATACATACATACATACATACATACATACATACATACATACATACATACATACATACATACATACATACATACATACATACATACATACATACATACATACATACATACAATTTTTACTCGTACAAGATAATAGGATTGTAAACGCGTACGATAACTATAAATCGAATAGATAATTTCCGAGGATGCAGGTATCAGTATTAACCCACTCGCTAGGGCTCGTGGGTTAAACTTTCTTCTCATGAATAAACATTCATTTAACTCACTTGGTGTATAAATAACTATTATACTTCACTATTATAGATCCATAACGCCCGCTTATAATACCCTAAGGTGTTTTTGTTGTTGTTGTTCTATTAATTTGCACTTTACCCTAGGCAGCCACTAAATGTCTGACCGAAAATAATTTTCGGTCTAGACAGGATTCGAACCCGGTCTACCATCAACGTTTCCCATGTAGTCCAGCGCGTTAACCCACAGGACCACCACCGTTGCCTTGCCTTATGAGATGTTTATAGATATATTAATTTATTTCGTTTCTATGTACAGGTCGTAGGAACAGGTACAGGTCACAGGTACAGGTACATGTCAAAGTACAAAACCGAGTACAAAACAATATTCTGTCACACAAGTTTAACTGATTTTGTTAATAATAAATTGATGAAAAAACATTGTGTTGAGTAGAAAATAAAGCAATGTATGCACCACGGGGATTTTAAGATTATAATGCCCTTCAGGCGAAATATATCCCTCGGGCCATAGGCCCTCGGGCTAGTTTCGCCTTCGGGCATTATAATCTACATAATCCCCTTGGTACATAAATAGCTATTATAGCTTTAACGTATAAGTAAATTAATCTTTTGTTCATGAATGGTGGCATTTTCCTCTCTCAACAAATTAATGTATATATTGTGACTGTGTTGTACCCAGTTCAGAATAATTAAGGATTAAACGACTTACCTGTAGGGAAGTTCAATCCTAATTATACGAGATTGGTCACATCCGAATAGAACACCAGGTAGTGATACTTCGTAGCACGGTCGAACGCAAGTTTTAGAGAGATAAGAGAACCATCCTTCACCGCCCCGCCACACCCGGCATAACCTCAGTATACTTCTGAAGCTAGCTCAAGATCGCCTCGGGAGGGATAAATAATTAGGTCCTGTTGTAATGATGGCAATGATGCCAAAAAAACAAGTTTGTAGCGGCGGGACTCTATTCGGATGTGACCAATCTCGTATAATTAGGATTGAACTTCCCTACAGGTAAGTCGTTTAATCCTTAATTATACTTCAATTGGTCACATCCGAATAGAACACCAGGTAGTTGTTTAGAGTCGGGCGATCTGGTTACCGTAAAGTAAATTGACCCTGACAGTAATAAACACTTTTATTTCTGTTTATTTTATTTTTCTCACAAATAGGTAGCAGTATTTAAATGAAGTAAGTATTGTACTAACCTAACCATTCAGTAAGGATATAAAGTATCTTAAACTAATGATAAAGTGAACAATAACCCAACAACTTAATAATTAAACATAGGAGACCAAAAATAAATTCTAATGTATCTAAACTAATGTATATAACGAACAAAGAAAGTCAACAAGTAACGACCAACTTAATAATTAAACATAGGAACACAAAATAAATTCTTATATTCTAGGGTAATTTCCACCCTGTTTTATCATCTATTGTTCTAAACTTAGGAGGAAACTAAGTAGTTTGTTTATTTATACTTATTTATGTAATTCGCAAAAAATTCTTTTGTACATAAAGGTTTGTTATAGAATCTGTTGAAGGTTTCACTTTTTTCTGACCATCCCGCAGCCTTTCTGATGCTTTCGATTGAGGTGCCAGCTCTAAGGGCTGCAGAAGAGGCAGAGTGTCTTGTGCTGTGCCCCTTAAATTTTGGATCAATTCCAGCATTTTTCAAACCTTTTTTGATCCATCGACTTATGGTCTGCGATGTGACAGGCTTATGAGGTTTTTTGATGGTTAAAATAAGTAAGTCTTCATTCCCTCTGATTATATCTGTTCTTTCTATATAGTGTAGTAGAGTGGAACAAATACACAGCTCGGGGTTTTCTTTGAAGAAAGGGAATCTGAGCAGCGGTTGCGGTTTCTTCGGACCTGATGTTTTTAGGATATCGGAAAAACTTATTTCGATGCCTTCTTCAATGATCTTGACATTACCCAACCTGATTTTGGAAAAGGTTTGGGCTCTTTGTGCCGAACAAAGGGCTAAGAGAAGAACCATTCGAATAGTTAGCAGTTCCAGGCTCAGTTTATCTAGGGGGTGTAATGAGCTCAAATAAGCAAGAACTGGTTGTGGATCCCAGGTTTCTTGATATTTGGGAAACTGAGGACGCAGCTTAAAGATACCTTTCATAAATCTTTCGACGATTTCCGACTTTCCCACATCGCAGACCATATTTAAAGCCGACCTATGCGTATTAAGTGTCGAGTACTGGGCACCTTTGTCGAACTCTGTTTTCAGGAAGGAGAGTATTTCCTGCACATTAGGCTGCAGGATTGTTTCAATTTTCCCCCCACAGAAGCCCCACCATTTTGAGAAGGTGGAGTTGTATTGTTTTAGTGTGTTTTTACTTATCGAAGCAGTCATAACATCGATGGTGTTGCTTGGGATGTCTTTCTTGCTAAAGGCAAGCTTGATAAAATGGCTGCTCCCAGGATAAGGTTCTTCCACAGGGGGTGGGGCTCCCTGAAAGGGGATAAAAGCAGATTAGGCCTTGGGCTTAAAATAACAACCTCAGAGCGGACCATAGATTCTAATTTAGGATACCATGGTTGGGTTTTCCAAATAGGAAAAACTACAAGGCATTCAGCCTGGTCATTTTCAATTTTGTTTAGGATTTTTGGTAGAAGAGAGAAAGGAGGAAAAATGTAGGCTTTCAAATTTTTCCAATTTTCTGTAAAAGCATCTACGAACTCCGACTCCGGGTCTGGAAACCGTGATGCAAAACGCTCACATTTTTTATTTAGATAGCTGGCGAAAAGGTCTATTTCGGGTACACCTAACTTTCTAGTGATGTCCAAAAAAATTTCATCATTCAAAGAGAATTCCGTATCGACGTTTTTAGTTCTGGAGTTTTTGTCGGCTATAACATTGTCCAGGGTATTTATGTAGGTCGCGAAAACGAATATATGCCTGGCCTCGCACCACTTCCACAACTGCCTTGCTAGATTATTTAGTTTTTTATATTTTATACTGCCCATTTTGTTTATAACAGAAATGGCGGTTTTGTTATCAATTTTTAGTAGAATGTGGCAGTTTTTTAAGTTTTTAGCAAAACTTTTTAGACCATAAAAAGCGGCCCTGAGCTCCAGAGTGTTCGGACTGTTCTCTTTTTACCCAAAACCCTTTGGTTTCTGTATGATTGGAGTATGCTCCCCAACCGGAACGTGAGGCGTCCGAAAAAATTGTAACTTTATAATCTGGTTGTAAGATACTTTGTTTGGCACAGTTCACCTGTTTCAGCCACCACCGAAGTTCATGTTTAATATCAGGACTTATGACCGTTTTTGCGTTGTAGTTTTCCCCATTTTCTTTAAGTGCAATGTATTTTTCTCGCTCCAAAGATTTTAGATGAAACCAACCGTATTCAGTTGCCACACATACCGCCACTAAACATCCTATAATTTTAGAAAAGTCTCTAACTTTAGCCCTATTCTTGTTAAGAAAATGTTGAATACTTGTTTTTATTTTAGCTATTCTTTTTTGCGTAATTGATATTTCCATGCGCTTTGTGTTTAACGTGAAACCTAGGAAATCAATGTTTTGTGTAGGTATTGTATGACTTTTTTCTGTGTTGATGAGAAAACCTAGTTTTTTAAGTAGTTTAGTGGTTTCTACTATGTTTCGTTCACACTGAAGACTGGTGGTTCCATATAAAAGACAGTCATCTAAATAGACGACAGACAAAAACCGCCGTTCCCTTAAGAAGGAGAACACAGGTTTCAGCAGTTTGGTAAAGCAGAAAGGCGCAGTTGCTAAGCCAAATGGCAAGCATTGGAATTCTAAAATCTGTTTATGAAAGGCGAATCTTAAATATTTTTCATGCTGTTCAGAAATGGGAACTAAGAAATATGCGTCCTTTAAATCTATGGAGGCAAGAAAACAGTCTTTTGTTATCAAGTTTTTTGCAGTTTTTATGTCTTCTAATATGAAGTGAGGAGGTGATACAAACCTATTTAGTCTCTCAAGGTTCAAAATGAACCTGTATTCTCCACTATCTTTTTGCCTTAGAAAAAACCCTGATAAAAACTGGTTTTCGCATTTTTTAACAGTCTTAACTCCACCTACCTCCAATAAATGTTGGATGCTTCTTGAATAAAGTTTGACTTCATTTTCTGTGAGTTTTGGAGGTCTGGGCGGGTAAACTTGAAAAGGTTTACTTTCAAACGGAATTTTATAGCCCGTTACCCAACTTAGCACCTGTTTATTGGTTGTTATTTTCCTCCACTCGTGCAGAAAATATTTTATTCTTCCTGCACATTGCATATTGCTGCTTACCTCTAGTACTTCCTCCCCTCCTTCTTGAAGGGCTTGGACTGAGGTCTGTTCCTCGCTCTGTAGTAGCGTGGTTTGTATTTTCCCTCGTGCTTCCCTGATCCTTTGTCCTGCCATGTCGTTGATTTCCACCGTTTTTTCGAGGCACGAGCTGGGGAGTTTTTTGACGTGGAAACGGTGGCTTGAAGTTCTTTGGCAGTGGTTTTGAATGCTTTAGCATTTTTGCATTTTTCTGCAAAATCGTCGCCAAAAAGAAGCAGATCCGCAGATTGCGCAGCTGCTATTTTTTGTGTTTCTGGATTGAAATGATGGTTTATTTGGAATTTCCGATGTGCCGAGACGGTGTTGTGCGCAATGCAAAACAACTGCGCCGATTCTGCTAGTCCCACCAGGTTCTCGTCCGGTTCTCCATTTTCTCCTCCCCCTTCCTCCTTAGCCAGTTGAGAAAGCACTTTTTCTAGGGCTGTTAAGCCTTTGCCCATCACTGTCTGCAACTCCAAGAGGAAAGTGTCTTTTTTCTGCTCGATGATTTAGCTTGGGCCCTTGGAGAATTTGGCAATTTTCTGGAATTTTGTACTTATCAAAAAGCTTATTTTTTACTTCTTTGTCTGCCCCCACAGACAGGTAGCTCTTCCATCTGAGTACTACTTCCTCAGCGATATCTGGCCCAAATGAGGTATTATTTGTGGGGTCCGCGCCCATGATATTGCCTAGCGCACTGCGTGGTTTAGGGTTTTCTGAGGTCGAGGAACTAGAATGGGAGGAGCTACTTGCATCACTCGAGCTCGATGAGCCGTCAGATTCGTCGCCTATAAATAAAAACCAGGCGCCTATTAGGTAAAGTAAGAAATTCTTTCCAGTGTTTGTAAACACTGTGGTAGGCATAAGTCAAAAACTATGCAGCATTCGTTCGTTATCTTTTTATAGTTGACTGATCAAATAAACTTTTGTGTCTATAAAATAGACAAACCTATGCCAAATTATAAGTAATCTGGCGGGCATGAGTCATAGACCATGCAAGGTTATTTTATTATACAACATTACGAAATGTCGTAGAAAACAAAACATGTCTACATAATAGACGAACCCATGCCAAATGAAAATTGCATTTGGCGGGCATGTGTCATAGACACTGCAGGGTTTTTTGTTTATGTCAACGTCGAAATTATTCAGAAAACTAAACATGTCTACAGAATAGACAAACCCATGTCAAATGAATAATGCATTTGACGGGCATGTGTCATAAACCATGCAGGGTTATTATTGTTTATATTAACGTTGTGAATAATTGTAAACCAAACAAAAACCTATTTTTTATTTTTATTTTTTTTTTTTACTCCGTCGCCTCCGGCAGCATTCCTACAAATTGACTTTATTTATATTATTACTTACTTGATTCTACGTATCGTTTTTTAATTTTCTTCTCCAGTTTTCTCATTTTGCTCTTAAGGTGGTCCATTTCTTTCATGTGTTTACGTTTACCGCTTTTTTTCGGCATTTTCCACTTAATTTGCTCTCGTGCGGTACGTGCGTCTCGTGACAGCGCAAGAAGTATACTGAGGTTATGCCGGGTGTGGCGGGGCGGTGAAGGATGGTTCTCTTATCTCTCTAAAACTTGCGTTCGACCGTGCTACGAAGTATCACTACCTGGTGTTCTATTCGGATGTGACCAATTGAAGTATAATTTTGTTTAGCGAGAAAATGCGTGTAGAACATGCTAGGCAATTAGGCATAAGCTAGGCTCAGCTCTTGGTTCAGACGTCTAGTGACTTGAAAAAGTCAATATTTATATACTTGATGAGCGTATAGCAGCTGATTTCAGATAAGTAAAGTATAATTTTTGTTAAATATACCAGCAAATTGGTACAATAATGTCAGCCTGATGAAAATGTCTCCATTTCTTTTTTTCATTTCAAGGAAAGGTTGATATTAAACGTTCCCTTCTTTTTCAACCAATACTCACCAATGACAAATAATGATTGTCTGAGTAACGAACCCATGCACCATGCGTTATTAACAAGTATACGAGCAGTTAACAAATATTGAAGTTCATTAGACATCAGAGCTCGATTTTGACTGTTTAATTCAAAGTATCTTCATTTATGCTTTAAAATCGGAATTTTTGGGCCATCGTCAAATGATTTGTGATGCGTTTTCTTTCGTATCGTCTTTGTTGTTGATAAATTGTCAGATTTTTCGCTTTAAGGGGTTGAATTACTGTGAAAAGCTCAAAACATTCCCGACAGACGTGTTAACTGCTTCGATTTCTGAATGAAAAATTCCACGACAGACCTTTTATATTTTAGCCGTCGTTTGCAAAGTGAGGATTGGAACTGTGTGCGAGACAGCGCCCGAAGACTCATGATTTGGAGTCAAGAGAAAAATGGAAAAAACTGATTAGTCCTAACATCTTTGTAATCTTCTTCGCAACGAAGAAGATACGAAAAACGCATCAAAAATGAACAACCGCCTAAAAATTTGGATTTCATTGAAACTATGTACTTTTAACGGCATTGCATCTATGTATAAATATGTGTTTTTTAATCCGAATTTAAATATTTTATGTTTAGTATTTGTTCATTTATTTACTTAGTACCTACGTATTCATATATTTAGTATAATTGGTCTCACATCACCCTTCACTGACGTTATGTAATTTTCTACTCATTATTTTTTTGTCATTCAAAGGACCATGCACGGATCCCTTGAGAAAAAAAAAAGAAATTTCACGGATGTCATGAAATTGAAATGTTATGCTTCTCGGCCTCCTGAACGTAAGTTCTTGTAGGCTCAAAAAGATCCTATGATTAGTATCGGAGATACAGGACCGATAAAAAAGAGTAGTACAAGAAAAATCTCCATAATCTCCATAATTTAATTCATAACCAAAAATGACATATTTTTGGCATTTTTCGACAAGTTTTTTACCTTCAAAGCTTCAGATGACATCACTTTGGCATTTTCCACCCGTTTTTAACCTAGAATATGTCATTGCCTGAACTCAACATATTTTAAAATGTGCATTTTTTGTCAAAATTATGTATGTTGACCCGGGGCCTTATTCTGTAAAGAACGAACCGTTCGATTCGGTAGAATTTCTTCGATTGTCACGTCATTTTCGGCATTTTCGGAATAGTTTCCGCGCTAGCAAACCGAAAATGACGTCACAATCGAAGAAATTCTACCGAATCGAACGGTTTGTTCTGTACAGAATAAGGCCCCCGGTCCTGTATCTTCGAAACTAATCATAGGATCTTTTTGGGCCTACGATAACTTACGTTCAGGAGGTCGACAAGCATAACATATTTCAATTTCATGACAATTGATGGCAGCAAGAGTGTATATGACCATATCCTATTTAAAAATGTTGTGATTTCATAATTGAAAGGCGGTTTTTTCGAATTGAAATTTCGCTCTTGTCGTTTGCCTTCCGGGCAGGTAGTAAAGTTTCCGTATGAACCAACCCTAGGCGGGTCCACATGTTGAACAAATTAAATTTTTGCTTTCATCAAAGTATAAAATATTGCCCACGAATATTTTACCTAGGGGTTAATAAAGCAAATATCGAGGTAAAGGCAAAATGAAGGCTCTTTTATTTATCAAATTTCTGGTCGCGGACAAGAAATCCTACAATGTTGTAGTTAGCGGCGGAGAGTTTCAATTAATTAATCATCGAAAGGCGACGCGGGAAAAGTACAAACAGATCAAACTTTTCAGGGTTTCGCATTTCACATTTTTTACTTCTTGTCCGAGTAAATTGTTCATTTTTGTCTGCTATTTCACATAGATTGCTCCATATACCCTTACCTGCAGTCCTTCATATTCAGGTTGCAGATTGATTGTAACTGGCTTTTTTGAGTCTGCTGGAACATATTTCTTCCTTAATGTTTCACCCTGAAAAAGATAACAGGACCGGGATCGCGAACTCGACAACACTATGACGATACGATAACGTCAGTTAACTCCGATACTTCTGTTATCGAGACGATAAAAGCGGTCATGATAAACTGTCGTCGGGTATACTCGGTAGACGATAGCATTAGGGCAAAGGCAACAGAATTTCGGACAGAAAGATTTTCTTGTCATTATTGACAACCATTTATCATTCTATTTGTCATTGACTTGCCTTAACTTTTTTCATTATATCAGAGATTTCGGATATTGGTTCGATATTTGAATCGTGACTCTCGAATAGAAAAACATGCCTACTAAAAAAAATTTATATTCTTGGAATTTTCATCATAAAAGGTCGGTAAGTTTAAACCAATTTTTTTTTTTCTCGTTAATATAGAATGGCATTTAAAGTGAGCACGCAGCATTGGGAGGTGCTTGTGAATTTTGTTGAACTTCATCCCGATTTAGCTAGGGGAAGGATAATGGAGTCAAGTAGCAGAGAAAAATTTAAGAGGTTGTGGTTAGAATTAACTCTGCAACTCAATGCTTTGGGATTCGGTAAAAGAACCATTCAAAAATGGATAAAAGTAAGTTTGCATTATTATTACAAAAACATGTATAAGTATGAAATAGGATAAAAATCATTAGGTATAGTATTTGTAATACCCATTTAGAATAACGTAATCCTTATTATTATCAGACACGAATCAGATGAAACAAAAAATTACCAAGAAAAACGAAAGTCGATTGCTAATACGTCAAGTTCATGTACAGGGTGTCAATATATTTTGGCACCTACCTGCAGCCGTAATTACAGGTGATAGGTGAAAAGTGTAAATACAAAAGTTGTAGCATTTTATTTGAACCACCAGAATTTTTAATTAGATTGAAAAAATGAGCAACACAAACTGAAAAAATATGTCAATGATTCAGATTATATAATATATCAATGTTTCTTCCAATAGTTTTGGAAATATCTGAGTTTAGTTATTCAAAGACCTATTCACGTATCAGAATGTTTTGTGAACAGGTGACAGGTAAATCAGGGTAAGATATATTCAAAAAACTACTGTCTTTGAATATCTAAGCTCCAGATATTTCCAAAACTATTGAAAGAAACATTCATCAGGAATACAAGCACTTTTGGAGAGAAAATAAACGGAATTCCATTCAAAAAAAGTGAACATCGACATATTTTTTATTACTTTGCGTTGCAGATTTGTTGAATCTAATTAAAAATTCTGGCGGTTCAGATAAAATGCTACAACTTTTATATTCACACCCTTTACCTATCACCGGTAATTACGGCTGCAGATAGGTGTCAAAATATGGTGACTCACCCTGTACAAATAGGAAATTCCTAACCTAATTTTATTTGTCTGTGCAAGAAGCGACATACGTTTAGTCACTAGAACGACTGGTACTTCTAAAAAGGTATTAAAAACTGTATACCTATTTATTCCAGACATGGACCGATTTTAAATACGCCTTAAAAAAATCTTCAGAAGCCAAATTAGACGTGGAAGGCACAGGAGGCGGCCCTCCCAAAATTGGTGGCCTCACAAATCTGGAAATACTGATATTGGATATTTTGGGAAAAATTTTCTATGAAGGGCTTGGAATAGAGGAAGCTAGTGTAAGTGTTTTTTCAATATAGAGTTTGCGTTAGTTGGAGTTTTTCTAACAAACAAATTACGCCATTTCCATGCC